CGGTGACAGAATGGAGAAGAAACCTTGGGAGAAACCAGGCTCAGTCGGGGGGCCAGTTCTTCTCTGGCCAGACAAAACCAGCAGTTCAGTTCCAGGCTGCAGCAAAGTCACATTGTGCAGAGGACTCATCTGGTTCCTGTGGTCTTGTCCCAGTGGCCGTCTAGGAGATGAGGTCTTCACTGGGGATCTGTCTCTGGAGCTCATCTAGTTGTCCTATAAATGTCTCTACTGTCACTTTTGATCAATTTAAAAATTACTGGCCCTAAACTTTTGGTTTAGTTTTTGAGCCAACTTATCTAAACTCTTCAGCTAGAAATAATAAAGGATCTCATGTGATTTGAGGGTTCACTGAGGTGTATTTTGCAGTCTATGGGGGAGGGTTTGAAGATCCATTGACTTCCCAAAAGAGTCAAAGCAGGGGGGGTGTCATTAAAGGCAGAGTAAGTGATTTCTGGTAGCCAATGTTGATATTTGAAATCACCAAAACAAACACGCCCATACCCCAAAAGGGTCTTGCCCCTATTTTGATAGCTCCGCCCCACATATACGTACACAACCCAGGCAACGATTAGTTCTGTGAAACAAAGCAAAACCAATGTTACACCGTGTCTACATCGGACGTGAGCGGCGCGGTGCAACAAATCCCCGACAGAAAACTGCTGCCGGGTTCTATTTATGACGTGCTGACACACATTTCAAATGGTTTTCAATGGTCGTTTGATCGCGTCCAGTGTAGGCAGACTTTAGCTGTTGTAGACACGGTGTTACACACCTATTGAGAAGAAACAAAGCAACCCCGCCGTCCGATCGCAGGCCTCCGCTCCTTGAGTTCTCTCCAGAGCTGGAAAACTGATCCGATATTTACACGGGTCCTACTTCTTGCCTTATCGTTCCGCAGACGTTTTCCTCTTTTGTTTTTTATTCGTCATCTCTATCTCTGTCGCTCGGCTCGGCTAATGTCCGTCCCATGCACTGAACGCGCTCTCCTCCACATCGGGAGTAGACACGCCCCTTATTGCTGATTGGCTACAAGTTTGTTTTACGATTCGGCTCGAATCAGTTTTCTAAAGTGTTTTTGAAAAATCACACACCCTGCCTTTAAGTGATTAGGACTTTGTCTGAACCTGTAATGGAAACTTGGAGCACAAAGTTTTCTATTACTCTCATTGACTGTGAATAGCATGACTGTATGCTAACGCTTGGCTCTTCACATATGAAGTGTTGTGAGGACCCTGTGTGGGGTTGGGGTGATTTCATGGACATCTGTTCCTGTTGGTCTCTCATGAGTAGCTCAGACAGGCTTATGTTCTTAATAACTACTTGAGGAGCAAAATGCTAGAGACTTTAGCAAGAATATTCAGATATAAAGCTTCTATGCTAATAATTAGTCATCACTATTATTTTAAAGAAATTGATACTTTTATTTAGCAAAAACTGTTTTTAACATTGATAATCAGAAATGTTTCTTGAGCGGTAAATCAGCATATTAGAATGATTTCTGAAGGATCATGTGACACTGAAGACTGGAGTAATGATGCTGAAATTTCTGCTTTGCATCACAGGAATAATTACATTTTAAAATATATTCAAATAGAAAACAGTTCTTTTAAATTGTAATAATATTTCACAATATTACAGTTTTTAACATTATTTTTAATTAAATAAATGCAGCGTTAATGGGCATTTGTTAAAATCATTTAAAAAATCGTACTGATTATGAAGCAAATTAGGTCTCAATTTGTGTTTGTGAAGTGACACTGAAGCAGATCACCATTGATTCAGCTCAGATTATGCTGTCATGCCTTCAAAAATAAATGCACTTATACTGTATGGTACTCCTACTATTGGTATTTGAGCTGATTATGCATAGGCTATAGGATAAACGTGTTTACAATGTGGCCTGGGTCATGCACTGCTGAAAAAGGACATTTCGTACAGAACACCCAATTAGAAGATGCTCACATAATAGACTGTAGAGAACAGAATGAGCAGGCAATCTTCTCATTTACTGAAGTACAGCCTCTGAATATAATCCATTCTTGTGTTCTTTCCTTCATTTAGAAATGCTCTGTGTATCTCTGTGAATGTGACAACACAAATAATTAATTTTGATTGATGTTACTTTAAGATTTTCAATGAAAAAATGCTTTTTTGTTAAATTAGTGTCTGCATTAACTCTTTTCCAAGATGCAACTGAATACGTTTATTGCATTAAAAAAATTACTGCAGAAAGATATTATATGTACATGCAGCCTTGCTCAAAAATGTCAAACTAGCCTAAAATGGTTTGCTGGTTTTAGCTAATTTAAGCTGATCTAGGTCTCCAGTCTTAGGCTGATTTAAGAGTTGTAAAATATTATATAAATATAAAAAAAAAATTCCATAACCCTTTAACAATTTACAATGGTAAACATACTCTCTGCTAAATTAAAACTTACTATTGTCCATCATATTACTTGTCAATCTATGTTTTGAAAACTATTAAAATGTATTTTTTTAAATGATCAATAAAAGAAATTGTAAATAATAATAATTAAAAATGACAAATAAATATCAGTTTAATTTAGTTTCCCCCATCATTTTTAGCATGCTAACAGTTACCAGATAACTTTTTTTTTTATTTCTCTGTATATAAATATTAGCATGTATAATATGAACAAACTATAAACTAAAACTTAATAAAATCTATATATACATTAAAAAAACACGTAACCTAATAAATACAACTTAATTCAAAATATGAACAAAAACTACAATAATATATTAACAAGAGTAAAATGACACTGCTTATACTTTGGGTGTAATACCTGATAAACCTCTTCCCAGTTTAACTTCAATTTATTGGAGTTTTCATTGAATGTAAATATTTGTTCACCATATCAGTATAACTTCCTGAATGCATAACATTCAAAGCTTTCTTCCTCTAATCCGTAACAAGCCCTGTTCTCTAGGCACAGCTGAGTTTGATATACTGTCAGCTTGAGTGTGTTTCCTCTCACCTGGTTACAGGTGCATGGCAACCTCTCCTGACGTAGACACACACACACACACACACACACACACACACACACACACACACACGCTAGACTCCCTCCCTTCGGTTTCCTGCCACTGACAGATCCACCTACACCGGCAGTGGGAAAAGTCTCTGATATAAAGGGTGAAATGGACTAGGGGTCTTCAAGATGCAGACGGTCAGAACGGTGGATGTGGTTGACTGCTCCTTTCTCTTCTGCTTTTCCAAGCACAACAAGGCAGCTGTTCAGATAAAGGAGGACATGAAGAGGATGGTGCAGCTGCCCATGATCAAAGCCTCTCCGGCCACCGCCACAGCGGGGAAGAAGATCTTCGGCGTGTCCCTGCTGGAGTTGAGAGGTCTGGGACTTGTCAAGGACGGGGTTCCTGTGGTGGTCCGGAGCATGGTGGAGTATCTGGAAAAGCATGGTAAATATTGCTCTCAGCTCACGTGTTATACCTGATCGTGGTTGGTGTGAGAAATCTGATCTGGGGACATTGATAAAGAATTAAAAGTAACCTGAGTATTTCTTTGGTGAACCATTATAATGCGTTAAGCAACTAACAGCATGTCACATCCTGGCCTACTGCATTTTCACAAGAAAGAAATCATCAGTTGACTGATACAGGCTTAAGAGTTACTGGGCAATTTATGATTTATGATTGTTTTCAGAGGTGCGGCAAATGCTATAGTAACAAATAGCAGAATACTTTGTTTAGCCCTTTTGAACTTTATAGGGAATGATTCCAGCACAAAAAAATTGAATAAACCATAACATTATAATATAATATTATAATTTTTTCTGTTTTGCTTTCTATTTTTATTTTGACATGACAGGTTTTTTACTTAATATAATTAAAAAATAAAATACAATAATTTAAATTTAAATTCCATTTATAAGTCTATAACTTTTATTTCTGTATTTTAGGTGATGTGACTAGTCAACATTTATTTAAATATTTTTAATATCATTTTAATTGCCTTACTTTACATTTTTAAAATACAAATATTTTTTGTAGTCATGAAAAAAATAGTAAAATGTTTATCTAAATCGTTTTCCTATTTATTTAAATTCTTGTACATGCATTTTCTTATACATGAACTTCAAAGTTCAAACTTTTTAAAATAAATTAGATTTTCTCTTTGTGTGTGTGTGTGTGTGTGCTCCTTTTGAAGAATACTGTGGGTTCACTCAGTGCACTCTGACTATGTTGGCTGAAGTGAATGAACTGGCAAGCAGTGTGTTTTTCTACCTGCCAATAGTACATGTTGTCTAAGAACATAAAGTCACAGCTTTTACTACTTTAGTGAATGGCTCCAAGCCTTTAGCCAACAAAGACCAAGCTGTGACTATTACAATTAGGTAACTGGGTACCGGATCAAGGTCAAACCAAATAAAAAAATGAAAGATGTGTGCACTCAAGTAGCAGCATGATTTCTAATCGTATTTCTGCAAAACATTCTGTAATATTTATTTATTTACGGTAAAAATACCAAGTTTACCATTATACAGTCAGTAAAAAAAAAAATTAGGTAACTGGGTACCGGATCAAGGTCAAACCAAATAAAAAAATGAAAGATGTGTGCACTCAAGTAGCAGCATGATTTCTAATCGTATTTCTGCAAAACATTCTGTAATATTTATTTATTTACGGTAAAAATACCAAGTTTACCATTATACAGTCAGTAAAAAACTAATAATAAAAATGTATTTTAGGAAGCATTATTATTTATTTGAAAACACAAAAGATAATAAAAAGCACTATAAAATGTACAAAAAAAGTTTTTCTTCCTACACAAGCCCACCTCTGTCCTCTAAAACTCATTTGTTAGTAAAGAACTGTGATTGACAACAACATGACAAAACTGCAAGGATGAAATAGACTAATAATAAAAATGTATTTTAGGAAGCATTATTATTTATTTGAAAACACAAAAGATAATAAAAAGCACTATAAAATGTACAAAAAAAAGTTTTTCTTCCTACACAAGCCCACCTCTGTCCTCTAAAACTCATTTGTTAGTAAAGAACTGTGATTGACAACAACATGACAAAACTGCAAGGATGAAATAGAAAACATTATTTTATATAACAATACTGTTCAAAATATGTTATATATTAATTTCACTTCCTATTGACAAATAACACCACTTGTGTTAGAATTTCCCATTAAATCAGCTTTCAATACTTAAAGACTAGAATTCACTAAACATTATTGTTTATTACCATATTTGCTCCAAACTGTAGTACATCCTGTACCCTGCAAATCTTTATCCCAGAAGCTGCAGTAGTACTTGTTTTCCTCTGGATGGTGATACAACCCTTCAGAGAAGAAAATCACTTTACTGGGCCTTTGACATGTCAGCACGAAACAAGTGTGCAAGTATTGATTTTGTGTGTTTGATTTTATGGCGTTCATCAAATATCTTCTCAGATTTTTTTTAAAGATTAGTTTGGCAATTGAGCTAAGAGAGTGGCATAACTACGTCCTGAAACCCTGAAATGTTGTTAGTTTTAACTACAAATGGACTTACAGAGCTTCATGTCTCTCTCATGGTGCCACGATCTGCCAGGTCTTCATCTGGAGGGTCTGTTCAGAGTAAACGGCAGCGTCCGGACTGTGGATAACCTGCGGCAGAGGTTTGATGGAGGAGAAGAGGTGGATCTTCATCAGGATGCAGACGCCTGTGCTGTAGCCAGTTTACTGAAACGGTTCTTGAGGGATCTCCCTGAAGGTCTCATCCATCCCTCCATCCACAGTCCTCTCATTCAGCTGTACCAGGGTGAGTCAGCTTTCATGTATGGGTGGTGTGGTGTAGTACTTAAAACATCTGGGCTGGTAACTGAAAGACTGTAGGTTCAAACTTCGGAGCCCTTAAGGGGACATGGTGAGAGAAAACATGACATGGGAGGAAAAATGTAATTATACTTGAGAAGTAATCATTTTGACTTTCATTTGTATGCCTAATTGTGTAGAAAACGCTAACGTTTCTTGTGTTGTCACACTCAGTTAAGAAATTATACCATGTTTTCAATTCAAAACGACCATATTTGAGAAAAAAAGTCGAGTAGTTTGTATCACTGGATATATTACTATCATTAGTTTAAGATGTAAAAGTAAAAATGTTGTCATATTAAACATTTCGCTGCTTCCATCTTACCTCCCTCTCGTTCAGCGTTAACCGACGCCTCTCGCGCTGAAACCAGTGTTGCCAACTAATTTTCAGAGAAAGTTGCTAAAGGAAAGTCGGCTTGTTGCTAAAAGTTGCTAAGTGACGTTATGATGTCATTGTGCGATGACGTCATTGCGTAATCACGATGCAAAATTGTCACAACATCAAATCTCAGCAAAAAACAATATATTTGATATATGTTAATTTAGATGTGTTTGTAAAATAATATGCATAATATAATAAAATATAAATAACTGTATTTTTATTTATGTACGTTTTTTTAATAACTAGTAGTAATACTACACATTCTCAACAATTATGCTTTAAGCAGTGTATTAGTAGTTAGTTAGTATGCTACACTCTAAGAAAAGTCTGTAAAAGTAGGGCACAATCTACTATGTTAATATGAAGTAATTTTCCGAATTGGTTTTTTAACTGCATTTTAAATTATGCATTGTGTTTTCAGGTTACAGTGAATAATGGATAATGTCCTGGAAAATTACTAGTATCTTTTTCATTTTTCTTACAGTGTACTAACTGAACAACAATCACAGGTACAAGAGTAACAAAGTGAATCATAATAATAATTGAATAATTGTTCATTTATTATTATTAAATTGAATAATTGCAAATAACAGAACTTAATTCACGTGATGTGTGTACTGCTAGGCATCTTTGGTTTCCTCTTTTTGTGTAATTTGGATGGAAAATGCGTGCCTTTTTATTGTGAAAAGTTATCAAAACTTATCAAAAGTTGCTAAAAGTTGCCAAATATTTTTTTTAAATGGCTAAATTTGTTGCTAGGTGCTTTTGGAAGAAAAAGTTGCTAGGGTAGTCTAAAAAGTTGCTAAATTTAGCAACAAAATTGCTAAGTTGGCAACACTGGCTGAAACTTGCTATAGTATCTGCTTTTGTGAACACTAAACCCCGCCTACTTTGATTTGATTGGCCATCTCAATCAGTTGTTAGACTGCAGAGGCAGAGAATACAAACCAGCCTAAATTAAAAATGTAAATAAAATTTAAAAAATATTAAAATAATAAAAATAAAATTAATAATTTAACTTTTTTGTCATCCTAACAACAAACATAAGTTTTAGGCTATCTCCATCTGTGGTGTGAACTGTGCCGTAAGAGCCCTTAAGGGGATATGTTAATGAAAAAATAAGCTGAAATGAGAAAAAAGATATTTCATTGCTCGCAAAACGTTTTTAAGGGGATATATATGTAGGCAAATGTTTTGCATGCAAACGCAAAACCTTTAAAATATAATTTTCCCTCTCGTATTTTTCCATCACCGTGTCCATTTATACTTACGCACGTTTTATATATATATATATATATATAATATTTACTTACGTTAACATTATAATGTGTTTAATTCATAATAGCAAAGTAGGGCAGCGGTTTAGTGCCAGTCAAACTCTGTTGAGCTGTTGATCAGCTGAAATTATTTGGGTGAAGGTTATGGTTCTATCCTCATGAGTCATAGTCAGGATAAAGACTGAGCAGTGCAGCCTTAATAGACTTTAGTGTAGACTATATCATAGTAAGTGCTTTAAATCATGATCTGTGTTTTCATACTGCCTGAAGAGCTCTAGGCAAGACTTTGGCTTCTGAACGGTGTAAAAGATTAGATAGTGCTTTAATAAATTACATTATTTTGCTGGCTTACGTCCATTGGGTCCATTAAAATCTGAAAAAAATTATTCATTTGCAACTGTATCATCCCTTACTGATTTCTGCGACGTGGAGAGAGGAGACTTTGCTTGATTAATGTTGTCTTGGTGTCAGAGATCAGCAGTGCACCAATAAAAACCTCAGTTTCATATTAAGGCTGTTTCCCAAAAAATAATTCCTGAAGGAATTACACGAGCTGCTTTCTCCACAGACTTGTTAAATTTTTTTCTTGTTCTCCTTCATTGTCGGTGTCCCAATCTCCCTCTCTTTGTGGCATGTGTGAGACTAAATATGCTGCACAGATGGTGCATCTCGGATGCCAGAAAACAAGGATTAAAACAGACACATATTTGTATTGGGAATGTTATGTGTACATGCAGATACTGTACAGTTGCATAGTAATTTAAGATGAGCTCTTGGATTTGATTTCAAACTCAGAACGCAAAAATAACCAATTGTTATTAAGTTGGCTTGAGAAAACCAACTTACTGAAATCTGACAGTTATTATTATTATTATTATTATTCTGAGACTAAAATTTCTGACTCTAACTCCGCCTAGAGCTTTAACTCTACAAACTCCAAACTAAGCCCAGGGGCCGGTTGCATGAACTGTTTAGACTAGTCTTAAAAAGTTAGTCATCTAATTTTTTTTCTTCAAGACTGGTCATAACTTTTTTAATTCAGTCATGAAAAGGTAGATTGTTCTTATTTGTATTGGAAAAGGAAGGCTGATTACCCCTTGGCAACTGCTAGTTGGTCAAACTAGTTCTTAAGACACAGACTTAACATGGTGGCTAAGATTAATGCTCGTCAGACTGATCTCACTTAGTGTGCTATACCTTTTCTAACTGATCGGATTTACGGTTTTCTTAAAAATTACAAATAAAGATTAAAAATCCCATAGACTTACATTGATGGAATGTTCAAATGAGCCAAGACTACCTGTCTGTCTGTCTGTCTATCTATCTATCTATCTATCTATCTATCTATCTATCTATCTATCTATCTATCTATCTATCTTTATAGCAACACTCTAGCAACTAGCCAAACCAACCTAGTAAAAAGAATTTCTGAAAGGACAATAAACTAAACTAACTAACTAACCTAGCAACCACCCTCAGTACCCTAGCAACCACTCCAGGTAGCCTAGCAACCATATGGCAACATCTTAGCAACCACTCAGAGTACCCTAGCAACCACAAAGCTACACCCTAGCAACTTGCCCTGACACCCTAGCAACGGCATAGTAAGACCCTAGAAACCATCCTGGGTACCCTAGCAACCACATAGCAATACCATAGCAACCACCCCGAGCACCCATATCAACTGCATAGCAACATCCTAGCAACCGACCCAGGTACCTTAGCAACTGCAAAGCAACACCCTAGCAACTGCATAATAACACCTTAGCAACCACCCCGGGCACCCTAGCAACCACAAAGCAACACCCTAGCAACCGACATGGGTACCTTAGCAGCCGCATAGCTACACCCTAGTAACCACCTTAGCAACCACCCCAAGTACCCTAGCAACCTATCTATCTATCTATCTCTGACAGACTGTGGGGGGGGGGGCTCGAGCCCCTATGATGGGGTCATATGATGCGATTTCAAGTTTTCCTTTCTCTTTGGAGTGTTACAAGCTCTTGGTGCATAAAGAAGATCTGTAAAGTTGCAAAGACTAAAGTCTCAAATTCAAAGAGATATTCTTTATAAAAGTTAAGAGTCAGCCACGCCTACTTAAAATGGCTCGTTCTAACACGCCCGATCCTGGGAGAGTAGACTACAATGCCGGCTGTTCTGACTCACGAACTGTAAGTACGTTTTTTATATTTAAAGAGTTTTTATATTTTATATTTTTTATATTTAAAGTGAGTTTTTTGGGCAGTGTAGAGTAGGGCTTGTTGATTGTAATTTCTCCGATCACAAATGCAGACATGGTTTTATGTTTACGCGGCGCGATGCAACGCAACGCGTAAAAAGACAGTAAGTCATTATAATCCATAATTATGTCCCCACTGGATGCAACAAATGCCTCGTTTATAATGGGTTTTCATGTTTTTGAATCATCGCTCCGGCCGGACAGGGCATCACAGTATGGTAAGGGATGTAACATTTCCGTCACACGCTTGAGGTATTCGGCCAATCACAATGCACTAGATAGCTGGCCAATCAGAGCACACCTCGCTTTTCCTTCCGATGAGCTTTGTAAAAATCGACGCGTTTCAGAAAGGCGGGGCATAGAGGAGAAACAATAATGTACAGTATGTGGAAAATAATGTGTTTTTTAACCTTAAACCGTATAAACACATTTCATTACACCAAATACTCAAAATAATGTTCTTTTTAGCAACATTATATGACCCTTTAATCGCTGACGCTAAAATGCCCTTTCGGTCCGGTCTATCTGCCCCCGGACCGCGATTTCTATCAAGCAAACTCCAAGCAAATTTTCATAATTACCGCAGATTTTCGGTTAAAGGAGACATATTATGCCCCTTTTTACAATATGTAATATAAGTCTCTGGTGTCCCCAGAATGTGTCTGTGAAGTTTCAGCTCAAAATACTCCACAGATCATGTATTATATCATTTTGAAAATGCCTATTTTGAGTGGAAGCAGAAACACGCTGTTTTTCGGGCCTGTCTCTTTAAATGCAAATGAGCTGCTGCTCTGCGCCATTACTGCTCAGACCTGCTAAAACATCTGTTATGGTTCTGATTATCATGTTTATTGCGCTGAAATCATGCGGTTTAAACTTCTGATGGTTTTCTGAGAGCATACATCCGGAGCATACGGACAGAAAGCGGCTGTCACACAGCATGTGAGTACTAAACTAAGTTCTCATTCACACACAAGTTTAAGTTAAAAGCACACATGAGTTACAAAAACAGTCGGTTATGTCTGAAGGTAAAGTGCTGGCAAATAAATCGCATGTTTATTTTAGATCTAAATAGTGTTCTGTGCTCATCTGTGCAGACAAAGGCAGAACAGTTAGCCTGTTTTGCTCAAACTTTCGCCATGGCGTTAGAGCTGGTACACCCTTGTCGCTTGCGAAAACACAATGACGGCGCTGTGGGTGGAAACTTGCAGATTAAGGTGCGGTAATATTATAATGAGATCCCTTTGCAACCTCACCAAGGGAGCGAAATCAGACACGCTCTTTTTTGCTTGCAAAAAAAGGCTTACCAAAACAAAGTTACTGGGTTAATTTTTTTTCACGTTTCCTTGGTTGGTAGATGCACCGGGGACTTGATTATAGCACTTAAAACCTGGAAAAGTCAGATTTTCATGACCTTTAAAGCAGCACCATGTAACTTTTGGCGCTCTGGCGGTTAATAAACAGAGCTGCACACATCTCGCGGAAGAACATTCTAACCGGAGCTACTTCTCTAAAGTTTATGTCTCTGGCGATTCACGCAGGTATGTGTTACTCCGCAGTGGCGACGAACCGACCAGGCTACAATAGTCCAAATATAAGTACTTATTATAAGTGTACCGTCGTCCGTAGTGATTCGGAATAAGACAAAAACGCGGTTTGGAAGATGAATTCATGATGTACTCGCTCATTATACATTTAGCAAATTTTGAACACAGAAAAAGTTACATAGTGCTGCTTTAAGGCTAGAAAGCATACAGCATAAAATACTGTGCATGCGCACATCAATATAGCGTAATTTTTCTCACACTGACTGTACAACAATAATTACTATTTTTGCATTATTGTAAGGGGTGTAGACGTTAATAAAACACAATCTAATGGGTAGAAAATTCAATTTATTGTTAGCTTCCGGTTTTTGGTGTATACCTTCTAGTAACAACCCAGAGAAGTACGTATAGGCCTATTATTAGCCATTTCCACTTTCTAATATATATATTTTGTATTTATTAAATTATATTTAGACATTATGAATGACAGTAATACAAGTTAATTTTATCTGCATCTCAGCTACCCAGACAGCACAAGTACATCTGTAAGACGTCTGCTAAAGATCTGGGAAACATTTACATTTACATTTAGCAGACGCTTTTATCCAAAGCGACTTACAATTGGGGGATACATAAAGCGATTCTTCTTAAAGAGGCAAACAGACACAAGCTAGTACAAGCTAGAAAGAGAAGGAATAAATAAAGAGAGATACATTTTTTTTAAACATCTGCTGTGTAATCTGATAAACGTCTCCGGAGCAGTTTTACATGCATTCTAATAAATGTCTTTTTGACATTTGACAGGAAATGTCTTGGAGACGTATTGCAGATGAGCAAACACTCTAAAAAAAAAAAAAAAAAACATCTTGCATATATAAACACAGACATCAAATAGACATCTCCAAGATGTACATGTGCGATTAGGGGGAGTGCTTTACTGTCAGGAGCTGGTGCCACCTTCTGTAGAACTTAACAGCACTTGTGCTGGTGTCCTCAAATATTAGTCTGGAGCCCTACAATGGTTCTCGAAGTCAGAAAATCATAACAATGTTAGAAGAATGTTGTCTGTTGTATATTTTCACTGCAAAACAATAAGAAATGCCACAAATATCACTGCAAATTTTGAGAAAAGCTGCAGCAAAATCAGTTATTTTAGGCTGCAAAAATCAGAAAAAAATCCAGCTAAATCCTGGAGGGTCTGATATATATATCATATATATATATGATTATTGCTAGTAAATTCTAGCTTACCTTTCAATCATAGGGAGGTTCCTCTATTTCATTAGTAGTTTTAGCAGGCGCACTTCAGCAATTTGATGTGGCACTTTCTCTTCCCGTTGCCCCACACTATTTTACCACGTCCACACACTATTAAAGCCATCACCCTTCCCCTACTTCTTACAGAGTAATTCCTAGTCAGCTCTATTCACTTCCACATTTACTATTCACTTTAAAAGTGCCACAAATAATCCTTGTCAACACTTCGTGTTTTGCAGCTTTTCCCCAGCTCGTATTACTGCTTTATAGGTGTTGCTGTGACAGCTATAGCTAAAATAGAAAATATATTACAAAAATTTTAAAATGACAAATATTATGAAAATGTATTATTATTAACTATAATGTAAATTGATTAATAATTCTTTTAAATTGATTACTGCAGTGTATTTATTTGACAAATGAGTAGTAGTTTGAGTTTGACATTACTGTTTTTGTGACAACTAACCAAAATAGCAAATATATAACAATAACAGCATTATAATTTAAAATGTATTGTTATTGTAAATATGAATGATTAATAATTTATTTATTATTTAATTAATTATACAATACATATGTATTAGAATTTGTCACAGACTTCATAAGGTGATTTAAATCATTTAAAGTAGCATTTTCTGTTTCTTTGACCATTTATTTTGTATTTTAAAAATATTAATATCTTCCTATTTAACATTTCAAATCCTTTATTATATTTCTGTGTTGTTCTGTCAGAATCTAGTGAGGATGACTTCTGTAAGGACGTGCGTGAGCTCCTACTCCAGCTGCCAGATATCCACTACAGTCTCCTGCATTACTTATGTCACTTCCTGTCCCAGGTGGAACAGGAACATACTCATAACCGCATGACTGCCACCAACCTGGCCACGGTGTTTGGGCCCAATGTCTTCCAGTAAGTCACAGTCACACAGTTCAACAAAAGCAAACCAATCAAATATTTTTTACTTCCATTAATTATATCAGCTGATCCATAATCTGATACCCATCATATCTTCACGTAAATTCTTTACTTTGCATTTAAGCTCACTCATAGAAAGGTAATTGCAGAAAGCTCTAAATGTTTTACCTTGAGTTGCGCATGTATCCTAAGCTATTTGAATTATGTTTTGTCCGCTCATTGCCAAAAGCTGCATGTTATGTACTCTGGGTGTCATGTTCTCAGTCTCACTTCTCATTGGCTGTATTTCAGAGTGATCTGCACTCATGTCTCCAAGACAGACTTAACACAACCCTTGACCAACTCTATAGAGCATAGTTTCAATGCCTGCACAGTGATGAATTATTCTGTTTGTCATGAGTGTACTGTCTGTAACTTACAAAATTCACACTATTATGTTTATTTATGTATGTATGCTGTTCATTATTATTATTATTTACTTTTTTTTTTTTACAGGGTATTTGACATTACTTTTAGTTTTTTTTATTATTTGCAATCAAAATAATCATATAAAATGCAATTTTAATGCAATTTATATGACTTCGTATTAATTGAGACACTATATAAAATATTAATTTGTCATATCACAGGACTGTTTAAATTTTAAAAAGCATGATTTTTTTTAGTAACACTTTATTTAAAGGACCAATTCTCACTATTAATTAGTTGCTTATTAGCATGCATATTACTAGCATATTGGCTGTTTATTAGTACTTTTTAGCACATATTATTGACTTATTCTGCATGACCATATTTTCCCTTAATCCTATCCCATACCTAAACAACTACCTTACTAGCTATTAATAAGGAGTATATTAGGAGTGTATGGAGACAAAAGTTGTAATTAATAATTAGTTAATAGTGAGAATTGGTCCACAAATTAAAGTGTGACCTTATGTTGCGGAAATAAATAATCCATACAATTTATGTCTAGTAATTTTACTACTATTTTTCTTTTCTTTAAACAATAAGTAATCATTGTGACATAAGACATAAAAAGTCAAAATTGAAAAAAATAAAAATGTTGACATCATATTTGTGACTGTCACAAATTTGCCATTTTTATCTTTTAATTATGACTTAGTTGTATTTCCTCATTTAGATTTTTTTATCTTATAATTTTGACATTTTTTATTTTATGATTTACCAAGGCATGATTTTCTTCTTCATTGATATAATCCTATAGATTTCAACCTAAAATCTTGATGGTTTAAATTGCCATTGCATCATTAAAAATAATGCCTAATAAAGCATGTTGGGTGCAAGTTTTGTTAAGCTATCCTGGCTTTGGACTCCAATAGAGGGGGCCAAAGTCCAGGTGGAATTCTTTACTCGATGTCAGCGCTAACACAAATATCACTTACATACTCTCTGTGGTCATAAATTACTTGGTTGCTATTTTCAGGCACATAAGCACTCAGGCTTATTATTCACAAGTGAATAGCTCTGAGAAAAAAAAATACTCAAAAAGCATACAGATGTGAACCTCCATACATAACTAACTGTATATCCAGATTTAAGCCAACACCCTTCAATATTTTCAATGTAGTTTATGTCTTACAGAGGCTGGACATGAAGTAATGTGATTTTACAAAATACAAGTTAATTGTTGCATCTAGTCATTTTAAATATTATTTGATTTGTTCCCTGTTATAGTGACTTGTAAGCAAGTTGCCAGCTGTTGCAATATGAACGCAACCCCTAATAATACATCAGCCGCTCAGTTTCAGGGAATCCCTGTCACCACACGCAATGTGTGTAACCTCAGATCAGTGAGGTGGAAGTGACAAAACTGTTGCCTGTTTTAGGCACATACCTTTCTTCTCTGTACAGCATGTTCTCTTTGTGGGGAATAATTAAACCACTAATACAGCTGTCAGACGAGCACTCTGTGACCCCATACAGTAATACAGTAGCAGCATTTACTGTGCATTTATTACCCTCTGTCGTGGGACGGTATCTCAGTGTGGCCTCACACAAAGAGAGAATAATTATTTACTTGACAGAAAAGTTAGCTTTTTTAAAACCTTTTACCTAAGTGACAGCAAATTGAATTTGACTCTACAATGTTACCTTGATCCCATAATAAAAGCATTTTTTCACATTTTTATGAAAACGTTTTTTTATGAAAAAAGTTTTTATTCTTGATTTATTTTTGCATTTCATTTTGTTATATATTAATTTATTTTTCATATTGCTCAATTAATTTAATTTAATTTAATAAGATCTATTTATTTTAATTTAATTTATTTCTTTTTGGCGTACAGCACAATATGTCAGCGCACTGCCCACAAGACTATCAGCGCCAAAATCTATTTACTTTTATTGCATTATTTATATTGCTCAATTGATTGTGATATGTCATTGCTTATTATTTATTACTAAAAAGGGCTTTAAAAAAGGAGGTAAATGTTGTTCCTGGTTTTCTCATTTAATGTGGCAGCACTCGATCTGTTTTCACAGCGTGTGTTTGTGTGTGTATGTGTGTTTTCTGCAGTGTGTCATCTGGTTTTGACGGTATACGGGAGCAGAATATCTGTAACAACATTATGGCCAAGCTGATCCAGAACTACAGCGCCATCTTTGAGCCTGTGGTGGAGAGAAAACTAATCGAAGAAAAACCTTCAAACCTCATCATAGTCAAAGTGAGTACTGACAAAACATATTAACTCCCAATGCACTGCCACTTCACTTGCACTCGGTTGGCAGTCATCTATACCATAGACAAAATTATTAAAGAATAATAAATATAATTGTTCAGTGCAACAGAATAGTCCTTGAAATGGAGGCATTTAATATTAGTACATGCAAACAAACTAAAATTGGGGTTCAAACCAGTGTTGTTTTAGTATCCTTACTTTACTATCTTAGTATTTATTAAGATTTTGTATTATTTTTTAAATTAAGAATAATAATTGATAAGTGTAAGGGAACAGAATACTGTTTGAAATGGAGCAATGTAATATTAGTAGAGCTGTCAAACGATTAAACGCATCCAAAATAAATGTTTTTGTTTACTTAATATATGTGTGTATACTGTGTATATTTATTATGTATATATAAATACAAACACATGCATGTATATATTTAAGAAAAATATTTTGTTTATATATTAAATATATTTATGTATGATATAAATATATAAATGTATACACATGTAAATATTTTCAAAATATATACCGTATGTATGTGTATTTATATATACATAATAAATATACACAGTACACATACATACATTATGTAAACAAAAACTTTTATTTTGGATGTGATTAATCGTGATTAGTCGTTTGACAGCACTAAATATTAGTAAATGCAAACGAACAAAAATTGGGGTCCAAGGCAGTGTTAGTATCATTACTATGCTATATTAGTGTTTTATACTTTCTCTTTGTCTTTTACTTTTAGTTGTTTTAGTAATTTTATGTGCTTTAGTAATTTTCTTTTGTCTTTTTTATATTCATTTTCATTTCCATTTTAGTATTATTAATAGTACTTTCATCTAAGCAAAATTTAGAAGCGTTTCTTTTGCTACTGACATGAAATACATTTTTAAAGAACTATTTTAAAATGTAAAAGTTTTTTATATAAGTTTTTTTATGTATATGAATATAAAAAATTTTATATTCAATTTTATTTCTGGTAAAATTTCATTCATTTCAATTACTGTAAATGTTTTTTTAGAATTTTTAGCTTTAGTTAAGAATAACAACACTGGTCCAAAAAGTCATGGTGCTCATTTGAGCGATGCAAGTTTAAATTTGGCTTGCAACATTTACCCAACTTCATTTATACAGCTACATTTGTTAGATTTGAACATCTGAAGTACATCAAATGCCTTCAAAACTGCACACCAACTGAGAAAATCCAACCCATGTATAGAAACACATCTTTCACAACCCAAAACATGCCACTTTCTCCTGCTTCAGCCTAGTGGTCACATGCATAGACACTGTGTCTGCCTGACCTTGCTTTGTTGCTGTTTGCACCGACTCGCCAAAACTGCAAGACGTCATCATGCTATCTCTCCTATGCCACCATCAACAACATCTGCTTTTCTGCATTTGCACTTTAGTTGTCACATGAAATTGTGTTGTCTTCTGAATGCATCAGTCATGTGCACTGATGCTTTGTTGCTGTAGTCAGTGGGTTCAGGTGATCTCGCGTGAATCCCTGAGTGTATTGTTTTGTTCCCAGGAGGCCAACACAAACACTGAAAACACAGAGATTTCAACTTTCACTCCTGCTCCGAAGGCACATGCTCCACATGTCAAGAAGATGAAGGTACGGGTGATAGTATACACGGTGTGTGTGTATTTGTAGATGTGTGTATGCCTGTATTATCAACCTGCTATGGTACACAGAGTCAGTGTGGGTTTGTTTCCACAGCCCATGTCAAATTCCAGTGACATAGCACTTCAAAACCACCAGCAATCCAATAACACTACTCGCTCTGAGGTGAAAGGTACAATCACAAGACTCAGCTTTGAGTTTAATCCAAATGATGCAGATCTTAAGTCAGTCAAAAGCTATTTTTTAAAGGAATAGTTGAGCCAAAAATGAAAATTTGTTGAAAATGTATTCACCCTCAGGCCATCCAAAATGTAGATGAGTTCTCTTCTCTTCATCAGAACAGATTTGGCGAAATTTAGCATTGCCTGACTTGCTGTAGCAGTGAATGGGTGCCGTCAGAATGCGCGACAGAACAAACAGTTTATAAAAACATCACAATAATTCACAAGTAATCCACTCCAGTCCATCAATTAACTTCAAAGATGCATGTTTGTAATGAACAAGTCCATCATTAAAACATTTTAAACTTCAAAATGTCACTTCTGACCAAAATATGAGTCCATAATCCATAATAATGCTTCCTCCAATAAAAAAAGTCCATCTCCCTTTGTGCTCTCACATCAAAATCCACCAGCATATTTGTTTTAGGCTGTTTTTGCCGGTAAACCGTGCTTAATCTGAGCATATTTCTCTCCTTATTCAGACCAGATGACGTTTTCACTGGATAGAGGACTTGTATTTTAGCCAGAAACAGTGGTCTGAAGTGGAAAACATCTTCTTCTTTCTTAGAAACATGAAGCTTTTCACTTCACCAGACATTAATTGATGGACTGGAGTGGTGTGGATTATTGTGATGTTTTTATCAGCTGTTTGGACTCTAATTCTGACGGCACCCATTCACTGCAGAGGCTCCATTGGTGAGCAAGCGATATAATGCAAATTCTCCAAATCTGATGTGATGAAGAAACAAACTCATCTACATCTAAGATGGCTTTTCCTTTAATAGTCATTTGGATTGTTTTTTTCAGCACTTAAAGACTTTTACCACAGATGAGGCTGGGATATAAAACTGGGGGCTCGATTAAACCTCTTGGTATTTACATCATGCTGACTCTGGATCGGATTCTTGTGACCTTAATTCCCGTTAAAGGGCCCGGCTAGTGATGTATTTGTCTTTCCGATGGGTATTAAAGTTACACCCCTGAGGTGTTTTTGTGGACTACAGGATGTGTTTGCTTATGCACTGAGGAACAACATTGAGTGAAAGATGAAGAACAGATCTACAGTAGCTCGTGCCAAGTACACCTCTTGATAAACACTAAGTCAATAAATATATAAAGTCACTTAGTCATATGTGTATTTGCTCTCTTGATAAATTCCACGAGCAGGCATATTGTAATTGAGTTTTCCCAGACTTTCTGAATTTACTCTTACACGCCGGATGTTAAATGCACTAAGAATGAGAGCTCTGTTTTCTGTAAATTCAATTGAATTAACTTTCCCTCTCAACTGGATGTGGTCAGTTGCATATGACGGAGGTCATGTGTACGTGCTCAGAACCGCACGGTGTAGTGTTTACGTGTCTGCTGGAGACGGGCTGGGTCTCATGTTTGTGTATGTTCTCTCTATGAAGCAGTGTGAACCATGACCCTCTTAAATGACTGGCATGATGTTTTGATAACAATAATATTGTTTCTGTAGATTGAAAAACTTGTATGAAGGTACTACTTGCCCTCTGGGCACAAGTTTTTCCAGGTACTGTTCAAAGGTTTGGGGTCCGTGAGATTTCTAAAATATTTGTAAAAGAAGTCTCTAATGCTCACCAATGGCATATAAAACGACTTCTTTTTATTTTTATTTTTTTTAATTTTCAGCATCGTTACTCCAGTCTTTAGGGTCACACGATTCTTCAGAAATCATTCTAATATGTTGATTTGCTGCTCAAGAAGCATTTCTTGTTATTCTTATTATCAATTATGAAAACTCCTTAATATTTTTGTGGAAATAGCAGCATTTATTTGAAATAGAAATATTTTGTGACACTATCTTTATTGTCACCTTTGATCAATTCAATGCATTCTTGCTGAATTAAAGTATTATTTCTTTAAAAAAAGTCATATTGACCTCTAGCTTTTCAACAGTGATGTACTTCTGCAACTCTCTTATGTTTTATACAGTTTACTGTTTTTGAGATGCCCATGTCTCTATAAACTTTAAATGTAATAGATTGTATGTTGAAATCATTTGATCAGTCACTATCGTTTTGTTAGGTCACACAATGCACTCCAGTTGAAAATCCAGATTACTTTATTCCGACACCAAGAAAGAAGAAGATAAGAATCGCCAACATTAGCTATACAGTCTTTGTGTTTTAGAGACTTGCTTTGTCAAATAGACATTTGTAGTGAGAACCTGACTTAACTTACTAGCTCTTACCGTCTACAAAATATGATTGTTAAGATCAGGCTGGCTACTTCATATAATAAATAAAACTTCACTCTTCCTGCTTCTGGAACTGTTGTAAATTACAAACCCCATTCACAAGTTACAAATCAATAAAATGGATTGCAGTATCAACAAAGTTACGTGCAATTATAGTCGGTTCATGGTATAATCAAGTGCTTGTTGTGTGAATTCCCTATGGGCCTGATCTGTTTATCATCCAGCTAAGTTGAGTTTAGATCCTCATTGTGGCTTCCTGGAAGGAAGAGTCTTCACATTCATAAATCTAAAATATTTTTCCCCATCTTCCACCTTCCAGAAATATCTCAGCTGAGGAAGATCTTAACACACAACGGCTTATGCTGTGTTTTTGTGTTCTCTTTGAAATCCAGCTATTGAAAGTTCTCTGTTTACATAGACATGTGGTGCTGACCAGATAAGGCCTGTGGGAGAACCGTCTCATCGGCAAACTGATGTCGTAAACAGGCTGAGAATTGCTGATGGAAAAAATACATGATGTGACTTTCATGAAAAATAAGACCACTTCCTACAGCGGAGACGCTTCCAATTACATAAGGGGTCAATTAAATCTTTCAGTGTAACACGTAGCGCTAGCTGAACTGGCTCACTCGGATTACCGCATTTTGTTTTGGGAAAACCAGCATAAACAAACAGAACTTTATACACGGGACATCTGTTGACATCAGCGCTGATTATGTTGGAGTGATAGTTGAATAAGTTTGAAAGACGTTACCTTGACTGCTTTGCAAGTTCTTAGCAGATAAAGGAGATGTACTTTTATCTTATTTATTGACTTATTTTGTAGCACGAGTCAAATACTTATCTCTTGAAACTTAAAGGGGTCATAGGACGCCCATTTTCCACAAGTTGATATGAATCTTTAGGGTCTCAATGAAAAGTCTGTAACATAGTTTGGTTAAAATTTCTCAATGGTTGTGTAAAAAACACCTTTTTTACCCTGTCAAAAACGGCTCTTTTCAGATCAAGCCGTTTTTGTAGCATTTTCCTTTAAATGTTAATGAGCTCTGCTGACCCCGCCCCTCTCTTCCGAGCTGCTCTCAGAGAGACTGTTTACTTTAGCCGCATTCATCGTGAAACTTGCTAATTAACACATTATTAGGAAAGGCGATTTGCAAAGATTTATTACAAAACATTATACTCACTTCTTCTGTAGGTGAAGCTGGATCACGAATGAGTCACGCGAACATAGACGCATTTATGTAGATTGGGGGTGCATTCCCTTCAGAAACAATGTAATCCACTGCGTCTTCAGCGACTCAGATGTCGGGAGTAAATGACGACTGCTATGTTCATTATTACATCCAACAACAGAACACCTCAATCGCTTAGGAGTCATTCTCGTCTACATCTGCTCCGACGATGAAACAATGAATGACAGCTCACTCAGGGCGGGTCTAAGGTAAGACGCCAGTCCAGTCTGTGCTGAAACGCTACTGTCAATCAAACTATCGTGGGAGGGGCCTGGCTCGATTTGAGAAAGGGGAAAACATTTAACCAGATGGGTGGATTTTTATCATTATAGGGTGGTTGTGTACACCCACTGCCAACACACATTTCAGTTCAAACAACTTGTAAAAGTGCATGTAGTATCCTATGACCCCTTTAAAAATTTCCTTGATTTGAAGGATTACATCGTACTTGGCATTAAGTTTTATGATTAGTTTTTTCTGTTGTGTTGATCAATAGCAAACACACGATCACAGAATCATGAAGGAAATGGTTTGCTTATCATTAACCTTCACAGAACGTGCGTCAAAGTTTACAGAGACCTTATTTGTCCTACGTTTACTTGAACTTTGCATTGGGATGGTCTTGGAGGTTCAAAGAGTTTACAAAAATGGACCGCATCTTTGGTTGCAAAGGAGCTACCACTACACTAACCGTTGATATTTGATGGTATCAGCTGGAGCTACCATCTTTATATATGCTTACATAATTTGTTTTGAGTGTTTTGTTTACTGTTCAGTCGAGGTGACTGCATTATCAACAAGGAGGTGAATCTGGTAGGTGTGTTGTAAGTCTCTGTTGAAATGTAATTAGGGAGTCAGGTTTGTTATGAGAGGTGAGGGGGAAAAATATGAAACTATTTTATTAAACTCTGATACCTCAAATCATGCGGTTTCTTGTTTCTAAATTTAGTGGGTGTTAAAGTTGGCTAACAGATCCAGTAGAAAAGCACCACTCGCGTTATACAGAAAACGTCTAGTAAAAATCTAGTTCTGTTATTCTGGAAGTTGTTTTTAGAATCAGGTTTTACAGTTTACTGTAAACGCAGAATGCATTGCTTATTAAAACTGTAATTTTAAGATTTGTAGACTGATTTCTCTGTGTTTTTGTCAGGTCACTCAATGCACTCCAGTTGACAATACAGACCCGTTTAGAGAAAGCGAGTCTAGTCCAGACAATCCTATACAAACACTGAGAAAAAAGAAGGTAAGAAATGATGCAAGGTTTCAGCAAAGAGCAGGGAAAAGTTTTATTTTGTGTACTTTACCAAAAATAATGCAAACCACCATGTCGTTCAAACACCGTAAGACGTTCTGTCTTCTGTTTAACACAAAAAGTGTTAATTTTTATAGAATATGGCCACCCTCTTCAATATAATATATATTACCATTCACCAAGTTTGGGGTCAGTAAATATTTTTTTTTTTTTTTTTAAAGAAATTAATAAACTTATTCAACAAGAACACAGTAAGTTGATTATAATGTTACCAAAGATTTTTATTTATTTCAAATAAATGCTGTTCTTATAAACCTTCTTTTGATTAATCCTAGTTTCCACAAAACAATTAAACCGCACAACTGTTTTCAGCATTGATAATAATAAGAACAATTTTTGAGCTGAATTTTTGATTTCTGAAGGATACTGAAGACTGGCGTAATGATGCTGAAAATTTAGCTTTACATCACAGAAATAAATTAGATTTTAAATATATATTCAAATAGAAAACAGCTATTTTGAATTGTAATAATATTTCGCAATATTAGTTTTTTACTATATTTTTGATCAAATAAATGCAGCCATGGTGAGAATCAGGCTTATTAAAAAAATTAAAAAAAATCTTATTAATCCCACATTTTTTAACAATAGTGTAAGTGAATGTGCACTGGGGCCAAAATTGACATAAAAGAAGAGGTTTGAAGTTTATATTATCTGTGCACTATATTCCAAAGCTTCTAAAGCCATATGTTTGTGGGACGAGCTGACTGAAATTTAACTTCTAATTAACGTCTAACATCTTAAAGATCACACCACAGCATCCTGTGCTTTTGCGTGACGTTAGTGCTTCGACCCTTCTATAAACAGTCAGTCGAAAGCGTTTAACGCACAACTCAATAAAACAATGATTTTCCAGTGCTGTTTGCATCATTGGTGTATCGATGTCCAGATTTCGCTTAGTTACTGTGCCTTAGATGTGTCCCACGTGGGCTGTGATCGATAGTGTCCTCTTTACCGTAGTCAATGCCATTACCTACTGACCGTCAGTGCCTTCAGGACTAAGTGCGTTGAAGATCAATCTAATCCTTTTGTAGTCTTCGTCTTACGGGATTTTGTTACATAATCTCATTTGCTTTGTGAGTTAAATTTGGTCATCTCTACCACTTTGCTGTACGAGATTGGCCTGTTATTCACAAATCAATGCTCAAAAGTTTGGATTCAGACTCCCTTCTGGCCAAACACAGTTGTGGTCCTAGGATAATGGTGGCATTGTTTGCTGCAGTCTTACATTAAACCTTATAGTTTAAGGTCTGTTTATCATTTCCTTCATTAAGGGGCAATGGATCGATCTGAATTTGACTGGGCTCATGTGCGTGTGAGATTTTTTTAGCTATTACACTTATTCAACTGGTTTCCGGCATGTACAGCCTTTATCGGTTAGAAAGGTAAGACAAATGTGAGCTAAGTTGTTATTGTGCTGTATAACTATCTTCATGTTGGTGCTTCCTGGGGTCATCAAACTATTGGGTGTTCTTGTAATGAATCTACATTTCTGTCCCTCTGTCTTCATCTTTCTTTCGATTTCTGTTTTTCAGATGAAGAAGATAACGAAAGAGGCTGTGCCGAGATCTTTTCCTCAGCCGGCTCCCTCTGGTGATCCCGTCTCCAGGCCTTTGACCCATCTTCCAGACAGAAGCTCGGGTGCTAGAGCTCAGTTTCTTCCACACTCTCCAGACCGGAGCATCAGCTCCAGCACTGACGGCATGAACCTAAGCCCTCGGACCGCAAGCCCTGCCAGATCTACAGAGACCTTCAACAGGTCAGTGCACTTTGCATGGACATTTACTGCTGTGTGAACGTTATTTATTTATTTAATAATTGTATTTATTTATTTAATTTAATTTAATTTAAATTTATTTTAATTTTATGCATGCTTACCAAGGCTGCATTTTTTGGATCCAAAAATACAATAAAGACAGTAATATTGTGAAATATTATTACAATTTAAAATAACTGTTTTCTATTTGAGTATATTTTAAAATGTCATTTATTTCTGTCATGCAAAGCTAAATTTTCAGCATCATTACTCCAGTCTTCAGTGTCACATGATCCTTCAGGAATCATTCTAATATGCTGATTTGCTGTGCAAGAAACATTATTACTATTAAAGTTTTATTATTATCAATGCAGAAAACCGTTGTGGTGCTATTTTTGTAGAAACCGGGATACATTTTCAGGTTTCTTGATTAGAAAGTTCAAAAGAACTGCATTTAAAAAAAAATAGAAATCTTAAAGGGGTGCATGATGCGATTTCAATTTTTCCTTTCTCTTTGGAGTGTTACAAGCTCTTGGTGCATAAAGAAGATCTGTAAAGTTGCAAAGACTAAAGTCTCAAATCCAAAGAGATATTCTTTATAAAAGTCAAGAGTCAGCCTCGCCCCCCTAAAACGGCTCGTTCTAACACGCCCCCACATGTCTACGTCACTATGTGGAAATATTAGCATAATGCCGCCCAAATGTGCATGCAAAGAAAGAAGGTGTGGTTTCAGGACCAGCAGTAGTTTTGATGGAGCCATGTCAGGGAGACACTGTGTGTTTCTAGGCGAAAGCAAAAGCACTTTATTTGGCCTTCCGGAAGTAGATTAGGAATCATTGGTTAAGATTTATTTACAACAGAACAGCACAACCCAGATGTTCGAATTTGTGCAACGCATTTTATGGA